CTCTCTCTCTCTCTCTCTCTCTCTCTCTCTCTCTCTCTCTCTCTCTCTCTCTCTCTCTCTCTCTCTTATACGATAGAGGTAACATCAAATTAATATAACACACTGAAATGTGTCATAAAAATATTTCATCAAAGACTCTGTACGATTATTGAACGTCCGATTAATTTTTTTTCTAACAAATCATTTTAACCTATACACGGTTGATCGGTTTCAATTCAACTCCTTCGCAGTCTTAGGACATATTTTCTCCCCTTCCTCCTCACCGGTATCCCCAAGCTCCTCTATTATGCGAGCTAACACTCGGCGCGAGATGGAATCCCATGCCGGCAGTTTCGCGAAAGTTAACAAGTTTTCAGCCGATTAGACTTTTAATCGTTATTACCCACTTTGCTGAGTGCTGCGTTTATCGCCGCGGCCAATTAAAATCGCGATGCAGACGTCGTTTTTCCCAATTGCTCCGGCCAAGCCCTTAGAATACCGTTTACTCCCGAAGAAAAGGCGGCGTCTCAATCGCTTTACGTAAGTGCGTCGATTACGTGATAGCATGCCAAAATTGCTATCGTAGACCTCGTGAGAAAATAACGTTATATTTCCACTGACGAAAGGACGCGTTGCGTCGCAGAAACTCCGGCGAGAATATCTAACAGTATCACTCTTTGATTCGCTGATTGACTCGAGCACATTTGTATCCCTGAATATTTCGCATCAGCATATCAAAACGATATTATGTAAGCAGAGAAAGAGAGAGAGAGAGAGAAACGAGTAGAAATTACAAAACACATTCTTGTCGGTTTCTTTTCTCTTTCTTGTTTCTTTTGTAGAGCATATCAAAGTTACCGTTAATGTCAAGACACAACTGAACAGAGTTTATATTTAATAATCGCCGGCGGAAAATTGTTTTCTCTGAGTGTGCGCAAGTATATATTACATTTTTTCTTCTCCGGGGCTTACGAGAGGAAATGAAATTCCTTTTTACTCGCTCTTCAGATATATACAATCGTGTTTCTCCGTGCTGCGTGGTGCGATGGGGGAAATGAGAATTTACCGTGCATTCCTCTCCGCTTCCTAAAATCGTCGAGTGATGCATTTATTTTCAATTCATTTCGCATACCGCCGTAATTCATCAGCGGCCAGATATCAGGCGCTTCTCTTATTTGCACCGCGAAGGCATACTTAGCGGAGAATTCGTCCGTTAATTAAATTGAATCTGTTGTGGGCAGCGGAATGGATTTCATGTAAACGCGCCGCGGAGGGTTTTGAGCAGAATCGAGGGTAACGAGCGACGAGAAATTTCGGATATTGACGTTAAAAAAAAAAAGATAAAAAAAAGAAGAAAAAAATTCATACCGAAGTCGCGCATGAATTTACGCACGAGAGGGCCATCGAGCGCGGAAGTCCGCGACAAAGAACTTCTCGAGTCATTCGTCATTTCTAACGTTCTCTCCTGCTACACGACATCGTACCTGGCAATCGGTAAAAAGTGGAAACGACACGTACTAGGATGAAATTCTGCTTCCGATGGATTCCAACGGTACGTCAAACCGGCCCGATCGAATCGTGTACATAGTCCATACCACGCGTCTGACGGCTTTGTCAGTAGACAACTCCCTTGTCCCCTTGTTTGTCTTGTCTCTTTTGAGCTGACATTCCATGGCGCGCCGGTGCTCTCTGAGCATCTATCGGAAAGCGAAAAGCGCGAGACAATATGTGCGCGAAGCGCCGTTATGCTTCATCGCGGATGAGTTCTCATCTTTTCCGCGTTGCCGGGGCATTCTCGCGCACGCGAGATTCAATTTTCCCTACTTCGCCGTTGCAGGGAGAGATGGCCTCTAATAAGATTGTAACTCGTAAATGTAACTTTCCGCGGATTTAACGGAGGAATACTTTCGCGCGCACAAAGAGAAAGAACGTCGGAAACGTCGTCGTTTACGTACTACACGATTGTAGTGTATCGTAATGCAATACATCGGCATCGATTGATCTACGAATCGCTCATAGATAATTATTGTATCATAATAAATTCGCACTTAAATTCGCGTCTAATTAACGTCTAGACAGAAGAAAGAATGCTTAGTTGGATTAACCGGTGAAATTTATTTATTTTATTTAACTTTTTATTGCACACAAGCAAAAGGCGGAGTATCCGGCTGCTTTCATTGCCTTATTTCTCTGAGATAAGACAATAGAGTACATTTAAATATCATTAAAAGCAAATTCTATACAAAAATATTCAGTTGCCGCAGAGTGGAAGGAACATAGAGAAGCTACAGACTGTACTTGAGGTAGGAGGGAATTAAAATATTTTACAGCTCTGTGTGTATGAAAAGACCGATCGGAATTTAGTTGGCGAGGAAAAGACAATTGATGCCTACGCGTCTTATGAGATGATTCAGTCAGCATTGTAGCGTAGGAGATTATAAAGAGGGAAATAAAGTATGTAGGACAGCAGCATAAGTGTAGGATAAATGTTTGTAAGATCCTGATCGTTGTATAAATATGAACGAATCACAGAAATTCCGGCTGAAGTTACCAGAATTCTGGTAACTTGAATCGGAATTTTCTCATACGTCCGTATTTTTCACCGGAAATTTAGTTAATCCAGCCAAATATTCTCTCCGCGTAGGATACTTCGTCGTTACGATCTTATTTTTCGTTTCACCGCGAGCAAGTCGTCTGTCTCGTGAGACCGATGCTTTTTGCATTCGGGCGTTTCCCGACGTGAAGGCGCGAGTGCAAACGCCAGCCATTGAGACGATGATCATCGGCGCATACAAGCGACTCGTTAGTCGATACATTCCCCACACCTGTTGTGGGCACCACAAATGTGTGATCAAACAGGCACGGTAGGCTTTGACGCATCGAAGGACATTGTAGGTGCTAATTAAATGCACCCTTTAACGTGATACAAGGTCTGCGAAGCATCTCTGCGCTGGATGAACACTTCGTAATATCGATCGACAGCTACGTGCCTGAACAAAGCGGGGGTAGACGACATTAAGGATATACGCGACGCGCTTCGAACCTATCGCACACGCGACACGTTCCACGTAGACTATAATAATGTAATTGCTATATATCGCCTTCCACGCTGGAATTAGTTGCACGTGTCGCGAATTTGCGTTGCACCACGAGACGCGTTTGAAGTGCCGAGGTTACCAAGGTTGCGCCAGAGTAAATGCCCAAGTAAACTGCTATCAGTCTGTAGACGCTCGAATCACATTTCGCGATGCGCGCTGATCACCTTACGTGATCCGAGATCAACAGCCCGGTCGGGCCATTGTTTCTCGTGTAATATCGACTTTTCGCGCGGAGAAGCTTTCGATTCTCTCTCTCTCTCTCTCTCTCTCTCTCTCTCTCGCATTTTCATGCGACTGGAAATTCCTGCTTCTCTGAAATTTATCGGCGGATCGTCCTCGCGGAAACGACTCGTTTCCATCGTCGGCGCTATTAATAATCGTTTGCCGGCGGATCTTTCGCCGGCGGAGAGTGGCGCGCGGCGAATCTAACGAACGACGTTAGCACTTCAATTTACGAGCGGCAGGTTATGCTGTCCCACAACGGCTGAAACGTATTGTAGTCATTAAGCGGCGATCGATTAAGCACCGTCGTGCGGATGTTTATATATCCTGCACGTAGATGTACACACGCTCGTCTGATTTATCAACGGACTCGCGGCGCCTTCGCCTGGAAATTAACTGGCGGCTTGCAGCGGGATGAAAGTGGAAACGGTGGCGCGCGCGCACGCTCGCAGATATAGTGTGCGCGCTCGTAGACGGGCCGGAGTCCGTTGGCAATGGAACATTAACTAATTACCTTAAACTGGCAGTCTGGCGTTTCTGCAGCCTGCCCGATTCCGCCGTATCCCAGTTATCGGGAGGCGGAAACAGATTATGTTAGTTAGGATGCGATTTAATTAAGTCCTCTCTGACGCGGTGTTAGTGTAGATCAACGACAAGACAAACTAACTGTTGTGTGTCGTTGGTAACAGCCTCGTCCGCTACCGACGATCGCGTCGACGAAATACTAGCGATCGACGACAGGTAGTACTTGACAAACAGTCGATCGTTGAGGCTTGTTAAAAACTGCAGAATATGCAAAGGTGCTATTGTGAACTTGGTCGGAGCGGATTTCGATCGGGATGATCCCGTTTTCCTCGGAAAATACAATAGAAGTTTATTCTCTAAAGTGTAAATCAGCGTATTCTTCCTAGCGTTCTGGTTCGTTGAAATAGAATTTCAAGATAGCGTAGGTGAAATTCACGGACACTCGGCCGCGGAATGAGAATTAGTCGTCGACTTTTTCGTTTGTTCGAGGAAAAGCGAAAATAGAGTGTCCAAAAAGGCAAGGCATGCCTCGCGTGTATGTAAATTCGTGTGGGAGACCACCGGCACATCGCAGTTGCAAATTCCAGATTGAGCTGCGAGACTCCTCGATGGAGGATGGAAATCCGTAGACGTGGCTCCGGGTCCCACGAGCGACTGCGTCGATACGTCGCGGTAACGATTTCTATTACAAAACGGATTTCTCATGCATCACCGTGTCACATTGGTCCCCCGCCGGGCGTGACGTAAGCTCCTTTCCGCGCGCGCTCCTTCAGGACACCCTCTCTCTATCTCTCGATCCTCCTCCTCTCGTCTGCCGGGAACGCGATGCGACGCGACGCGCCATCGTCGTGTGTTGGTGCACTCGAGGCGCGACGAGAAATCGACGCGCGGCAGCGCGTGATCTCGAGAACACAAGAGAGGAGAAAGACGACGGTCAAGTCGCGCGAAACGACTAAAGTGATTGCAACGCCAACCACCTTTCCCCGGCCACCCCGGCCTCTTCCCTTCACCTTCCGTCGTCCATTCCATCCACCCCTCGGACGACGCTGCGTCGCCGCGTCTTCGTGTCTCTCCGATATCACACCACGGTTCGATCGTAAATCAAAACGCAGCTCTGCCGGGGACGAAGGTACCCAAACAAAATCCATAAATTTCCGCTCTGCCGCGCCCGTGGTGGTTTCCGTCAGAAGTTCCCCAAGTTCCGAAAGTAGTATTTCTGGCGCCCGCTCCGCTCTCCCGACCTACCCACCTACGGGAGCCGTGCGTAAATAATGCGGGGAGGATACATCGAAGGTGGAGAGAGGATCGCTCTCCCTCCTGCTATAGCTTATCCGCGAGAGTCATCAATGAGACAGGCAAAGTCGACAGCTGCGAAAGGATCCGGCCAAGAGGCCTAGAAAACGGAAGAGGGTCATGTTATGATGACGACCGTACCTTTGAGAATATATGTATGTGTACTTCGGCCTTTCGCGTCCTTTCACGTGCTGTAGCTTTTGTCAGACGACGAACGAAATTCTTAATGGGTTCTCTCTCTCTCTCTCTTTCTCTTTCTCTCTCTTTGCTTTCATTTCGCGCCGGCGAGAGCGCGCTGCTCCGCCTCGGGGCAGGATTTCGCATGCGGAAATCGCCGAGGTATCGCGCGAGAGCTTGACGGCTGCAAAATAATGGCGCAAATCGGGAAGAAACTATCTGCGCTGCGCTCACACCTCCCCAATCCGCTTCGCGTAGATCCGATGTGTACGTGCGAAGTGTTGCCGATAGGGCGGGCGGTATCTCATTTTTCAGCAGTGCACTCGTGGAAGCTCGCTCCTGCCGGTCTTTGTATCGCAGCTCGGTAGTAATTAAGCGACGCTTCGTTCGTCCACATTACAATGACACCTCGAAGCGCCAAGTCGGAGACGTATATGCAAATAAAAGACTGACAAAGACAAAGAGCTCGTTGCTCGCCGTCTCGCTCTTCCAACGAGTCGGCGAAAAGGTTGCTAACGCAGCAGCAGCAACTGCAGCTGCAAACAACTCGAATTCAGCGGGAAAACATTGAGCGGAAGTTGTGAATCAGATCTACCGGTAGCAGCTCCTCCTGTTTCTCGCGGACGTACGTACCTCGTCCACAGTTTCGCGGGGAAAAGAAAGAAGAGCGACCTGGATGAAACTAACGCACGATCTCGCGTTTCCCTCGGACGATGCTTAAATTCGTAAGAAATCGGGTTAATAGAGGCAATTCAGTGAGTGCTTCTTGGAGGCTTCTATTAAAGCGATCCAGCCGCGAGTCGCACACGTAGCGGCCGTTACCACCTCACACCGACGAGAGGATTTGTACCGCGTCGTTTTTCGTCGGCGAGGGTAATCGAACGGCGTTTCCACCATCGAAAGCGATATTACCAGTAGCCGGTGATGCAGTGCCGGTCGTTGAAGGAATTGGCCACGGACGGTCGTTTTCC